CAAGTCAGCCACAAAGGAACTTCTAAGGAAAATACAAGTCAACGAGGCAACATCAGTCACAAGATCAAGTTTGAAAATAAATCTTTGTAAAGCATAGATTATAGCTTAGTCTAGCTTCCTCATTTTTGTCATGGTGTAATAAGGAGGTCAGTAGGCAGTATCAGCAACAGCTACATCAGTAACAGTAAAACAGCAGCTTCATGGTAGTCCCAACTACCAAAACTTCCCGAACTACCTTGACCTGATTCCTTTATAGCCAAGGATATGTAGGAAACCTTTGAAGCAGAGGTTCGGTCAAATCTTTCAAAAAATGCTTCCCACGGAGTATTCAAACGGGCAAAAATTGCTCGTATCCGCTCACATTATCTTTGCACGAAAACTCTTCGTGTTTCGGGAAAAGAAAAATTTGCATAAGTTATAGGTGCTCAGGAGATGAGATTGGATCCGCATCATCTGGAACTAAAGAAGCTTCGGGGTCTTGATTTCCATCCTATTCTTCATATGGAATTAGAACCGTTTTTCGGACAAAGAGGGGCAGTTGTGAGCACGTGATTTTTTGCCTCATACGAATTACTTCAAAATAATTCCCAAAATTAGGTCTTTTCTTTAATTATGTGTTATTTTAGGAATTAATGTGTGATTTTTCTGATTATTTGCATATTTTGAGTGTATATTTAATTTATTAATACATAAAAATTACAAAATATAGCATTGACACATGGAATTTGATTTTATATTTTTTTTTATTTTAGTAAATTGTTGTTTTACAAAAATGAAAAACAAATCACAAAAAATAACGTATTCTGCATTTTAGTGTTTAATGTCAAAATTTTGTGATTTGGTATTTAATTATTTGTGATAATTATTATTTAGAGTTAATTAGTATTTTTTAAGTTAATTTGGGTTTTTATAATTTAATTTAGGATTTTAGTTTTAATTTTTTGAAAAAAAGGAAGAAAAGAAAAGAGAAAGAATTAATAAAAGATAAGAAAATCGGAATTGGGCCAAGTTTTAATTTAATTCTTCAAGCCCAAGTCAAATTCTCCCATACCCATCCAAAACCCGTAACCCGTTTTCCCCAGACCCGACCCGGATCCATCTCTTAAATTAACCTAGAATACACTAAAGAGAGGAGGAACCGCAATAGACCCATCACCCCACCCCCTCGGCTTAGTCTCCTTCAAGACCCACCCCTCCCTGAAAAGAACCAGTAGAACACTGCTCCAAGACCACATTTTCTTCACAAGAACAGTCACGCATATACTCACGGGAGAGACAGAAAATCGGGACAAAAGGAGAGGAGAAAAGTTCTAGAGGGATTTCGATTGAGGTTTGGTTCTGAGTTCGTTCGTCGATAGGAGATTTCCGTTGCCAAGTCGAGTTTTGCCAACCGGTTCGCGATCTCAGCTGCATTTTGTTGCTTTATTGTTGATTTCCTTCAACTTTTCTCCATTGTATTCATTTGGGGAGCATTCGAGCTAATTGAAAGTCCATTTGAGTAAGTGTTTTAGGATACGCTTAGAGTGTTTCAATATGGTAGGATTATATGTTCCTCGTTGATTTCCATCTGGTTTTGAGTGTGATTTTTTGTATCATGGACATATATATACTTGGGTCTTAAGTGGAATACGCTAATTTGTTTCTTTTAAGTATGAGCATGAAGCGGGTTTAATTGTTCTCTCTATGTGATTTTCAATCCACGGTTTAATTTGGTCAACTTAAGGTTGATGGATTGTTCTTATTATTTTCAAGATTAGTTTAATCTTCAAAGATTTAATTTCATGTTTAGTGTAGTTAAATATACATTTATATATATTGCTTTAGGATCTTCATGTTAGGGTATCACGAGATTAGTGCTCTTTGTCAAAGTTCATATGCCCATTTTCCCTTTATTGCTTGATAGCTCCATCCTGATAATTGCTTGGATTGGTTTTCTTGTTTGATCAATTGGTAGTACTGGTTAGCTTTCTTGGAATGTATATTTGGATTAATAAGTGCATTTTCAAAAATTGGCAAATGTTGAAGGAGGAGAAAAGTTACTGAATTCTTATTATTTTCCGTTTTGGTTGTACCCTGGGGCTACATAACATGGTCCAAATTTCCTCCTTGGTTTGAAGCCTGATCATGCTTAATTTCATTTCTGATTCGTTGGTGTTGATCTGTTATGCTTTCTTCATTTTACTAGTAGTATCAAAATTTTGGGCAAAGTATACTGAGTTTGAGTTTTTAATTGGTTACTAGATACTGCTGATTTCTGTAAGCTCTTGTTGAAAAATTCTTTGCAAGCTTGTAATCACATTGAAGGTTGTCGATTAAGCATAGACTAGAATAACTTCTGGTTCTGAGTGTAATTTTGGTTTCAAGTCTGCATTTTGTTGAGAAGCTGAGCGTAGAGAGTGTTGAACTAAGTTTGGGAGATTTAGTTGTCTAAAAGGATTCAAATTCCAACTGTGGTTGAAAGTAATTAGAAAGTCTTTAAAGATAGCCTAAGAATTGTTTAATAAAAGGGATTATCTACCTAACCAACTAAAGAAGCTTCTAGTAGTGGTAGGGTTCAGATTTCATTATTGAAATTTAATTCAATAAGGTTTGAGTGGAATACTCTTTTAAAATATTGAAACTGCATTTTGTGAATGAAAGGGCATTCTCCATTTCTTATTTAAGGAGTTCATAGATAGAGAAAAAAAGGACGGAGATAGAAACACAAGAGAGAGTCAAAAGAGACATCAGAGAGAACAATATAGAGAGGAAAGAGTCCAAAGAGGGAAAGAAAAAAAGAGAGCTGAAAACAAGTTCTAAAATTCAAAAAATGAGATTCCATATCTGAGAATCATAATCCAAGAAAAATAGAAAGAAAACTGGAATTTCCGATGAAGATTTGAAGAGAAATAATTTGAAAATTCGATTTCTTTCTTTCTGGGCTTCGAAAAGTTGTTCTTGAGCTGTGGAATAGCTGTATTGTCGCTGTTGTTGCTGGCAACCGTACTGAGCTCTGTTTGGTTTCGATTTCGCCTTTATTTGCCCAACTTGTTGGTGATTTCACTGTTCAGCTAGGTCAGTTCTTAAATTCCTTGTATTATGTTTTCGTTGAATGATTGACAATCGGGCGAATTCCAATTAACTATTTCATATATGCCAAAGTTAAGAATTCTGTTACTTTAATGTGCCATGAATGTATATTTTTAATTTGATTGGAACGTTTAAATGACTCAAAAATGAGATGTTTTATGTGAATTACTCATTTCATGCTCTCAATTAGGACATTGTTGTTAGTTGTGAGTTTTTGATTGGTTGGATTTGTAACGTCAAAGCTAAGAGATATGCTCTAGGAGTAGTTCATATGTTGCTGGTAAGTTATTGTATGCAAATTTGTATTTAACTGACTCTCAACGATTTCAAACATCATTTCTATCCTAGTTCAGTTAGATAGTCCGTCACTGGCGGATTGATTTTGAATTGAGTTTCGTCCGTAGGAACAGCTTCGCATTTTAGTCTTGAAATATTCTGTCAGGTTCAAAGCGATCCATAGTTGCTGCAAATTAGCTCCAAGACAGATGCGTTACTGCTGAAAATCAGCCATGAAAACTCCATTTTTCCGCCACGGAATCCAATTCTTAAAGCTACCTTAAACCACTCCAAAATCTAGCCATAACAAGCAGTAAAACGCAGCAAAACCCGCTGCAAGGCTGCCGAAAAATAGCTCCAAAGCAGGCCCAAATCAGCGCCCCAGAAATGCTGAAAGCAGATCGCCAAAATACCCCCAAAATAGCCCAGTAACGACCTAAAATACAACCCTGCTTCTTGGTGAAAATTAGCTACAAAACAGCCCCCAAACTACTCAATAACGAGCTCATATCCACTCCAAAAATGCAGCAACACCAGCTGCGAAGATCAGTTGCAAATCAGTCCAAATACTACATCAAATTCCACCCCAAAATAGCAGCAAAAACAGCTACAACATAGCCCCCCAATACCACCCATTAACCACCTATTGTGGCCATTTAATACCACCAATAACTTGACTCAATCCAAGTTCTTAATCTTTTAAGTTTTGGTTTGTTCTAGGTTTTGGTTCAAGGTCGTTGTTAAGTTTGTGGTTGACCGATTCTGTTCTATTAGAAGTTCCATGTTTCGCCTTTTGTTTGGAGAAAAATCAAAACTACCAGAATTCCTTGTATTGTTGCATCACCAGAAGTTCTTGTATCTAAATAAATTTCCGGCAATCAATGTCCACCTTTTACGGCTCATTTTTCATATTCTCTCATTCTTGTTATTTAAGAAATGTTTGATTAGTCTATTTCATGGCATTGGAGTGTTTTGTTAGTCAGATTTCTTCATAATAGTTGCTTGAATTGGTGTTTTATATTTTTACTCCATGACAATGAAATACTCCATGAATATATGAAGAAAGTACGTCAAAAAGGTTTGTAGTACAAGCTTGTTCAATATAGTAAATAGAAAGGATTAGTTTTTCTGTCATCATGTTACCTTCTTTGCTGATCATATTCTGAAATTATGCTTGTTAATTTGATTTGATTTGGACACTACATAAGTTAAAAGAGTTGATGACAAAGTTATTTTTTAGTTGATTTGTTTGAACTTACAACAATCCTAAACTTAGGAAATAATTAATTCATGAATATCGTAGCTTGTTTTAGGCATGCTATTTCAAAAATTACCTTCTTAAACTCGGGTGTGAATTTATGTTGCCCAAATTCAAATCTCAACAATGTTAGATAAAATATGTTGCGGATCGCGGGTGCATTTCATGTGACATGATTACGGGTTCCAGAATTAAGACCAACGTATGTGTTCGCGCAACGTTGGGCGAAACAATCTTAATCTTAATAAAATACTATCGTGGTTGCGTACATGTTCGCGTGACATAATTACGATTCTAAAAGCAAAATCGGAGTATGCGCAACTTTGGCCCAATTTTCTTAACATTAGTAAAGCGTTATTAATTGTGGACACGTTCGCCTGACATGATTTTTGACGCACCAAACAAATGGGTATACGTGCGCGTAACCCATTTCAAGATAATTTTCTTGATTAAAAAGCGTTGAAAGGTAAATGAACATAGGTTTTAAAATCAGTAATTAAACAATTTTAATAAGCCAAGTATGATCAAAGCGACCGTGCTAGAACCACGGAACTCGGGAATTCCTAACACCTTCTCCCGGGTTAACAGAATTCCTTACCCAGATTTTTGTATTCACGGACTGTATTACAGAGTCAACTGTTCCTCGATTCAGGATTTTAAACCGGTGACTTGGGATGCCATAAATCTCCCAAGTGGCGACTCTGAATTTAACGTAAATAATCCCGTTTTGATTGTCCTTAAATTGGAAAAACTCCCTTATACCCCTTTACGGGGTGTAGTAAAAAGTAGGTGTGACAATAGGGACTTCCTCACAGGGCAATGCACTTAATAGGAAAAGTCTCTCAGCTATGCAGGAGAAGGTGACAAGGCTTACATTCGAGCTTGAAGCGGCCAATGAATGAGAAAGCTTAGAGATGCACAACTCCTTGGTATGCAAGCTCAAATCAGAACTCTCCTTTCTTCTGGAGATTTTCTATTGCCTCGGTCTCGTGAGTCATCGCTAAAGGCCCGACCTCCGCGTGATCGTTCCTCCCGTCCTCCCCGTGATCGTTCTGCTCGTCCTCCACATGATTGTTCTTCCCCTTATCCACAAGACCGTTGTTACCGTCTTCTAGATGAAAGTTCATCAGATAATGGTGATGCTGTGAGAAATACACCTTGAACAATACATTGATATACTTTGAACTAGACTAATAGAACTTGTTTTGAATTCGAATGAACATTTTTGATCTTATTGTAATTACTTAGTTCTTAATTGGTTTTGAATTGTGTTGTTTAATTGAACTTGTTTATTCTAAAATATTGATTGGGATGTTTGGTTGGATATGGGTGTATGGGTGATTGGATTTGTGGTGAATTGAGGGTTATTTGATGTGAATTGGGGGTTATTGGTATGTTGAATATATGTTTTTATTTGGCAGGTGGTGTAGGCGTGTAGCTACCAAACCAGGCATTTTCTATCAAAATTATGCGCAAAAAACCGACCGACTTCGGTCGATAAAGAAAAAAAATTAAATTAAAAAATACCGATCAATGTTGGTAAATTAATGCACGTTAATTACCAAAAATTCAACAATATCGACCAATATTGGTCAGTAAATTAGCTACCAATGTCCAGAAAATCAAGATTACCGACCAACTTTGGTCAATAATCTTAAATTTTAATTATTTTTAAAAAAGAAATTTTCTTATACCGACCAACGTTGGTCGGTAATTAAAATATTATTTGATTAATTTATTTTTATTTACCGATCAAAATTAGTTGGTAATTAAAATATTATTTGATTAATTTATTTTTCTTTACCGACCAACAGATGGTCGCTTATACTGACTGACCGATGTTGGTTGGTAATTTCCTACCGACTTTGGTCTGTATGCTCTACCGACCATTTAATTATCGACCACATATTTTGGACGGTTATAGGTCATTACCGACCGAAATAGATTGTTTTTTTGGACTATTTTAAGCTGATTTTTAGTAGTGTATAGTTCTCGTACTTTCAATATCATCTTCTTTTTTAATGATGATTGGAGTACTTAGTATTTTTTCCCCGTTTTTGAACATAGAGTATTTTTTTTTCCTCGAACAGATAGAGTACTCGAAATCCAGTAAATTACACTTCAACTCTGCGTTGGTGTTTAGTGTTTACCCATCAAGCAAAACTATAATGGCATTCAACCACTTATAACTAAAGAATTTCCAACATAGGAACATCGTATCCAATTTTGTTCGGACTACAAGTTTGAATAACTGGACTAACAAAGTTACTTATTGATTGCACTTCATTTTGATGCATAGTCTATATATAATATAGCCTATCATCTTTTCAACCAAAAAATCCATTTAATGTGACGTATAAAGGCGAAAAGGAAGATGGTTTGGTGCTATTGATTAATCATTATATAACAACTGACAGCTTGTATTATTCATAAACAGTATGTATCATTATTAGTAAAATAAGATATTAGGGAAATATAACACCAACTAATGCTATCAATAAGGTCAATCTGTCAAAAACAACAAGCAAACTGGAAAGGGACGAAAAGGAAAACAAAGGCATAAGGCAACAGAGATTAACGATCATCATAATTAGTTCTAGCTAATAGCAACTCCAATTAACATACTATGGAAGTATATACATTCCAAATTGATTGATGAACATCATGTAGTGTACAAATATTTAGTTGCAAATTACCGTAGAATTTGTATCCAAATAAATCAAATTTACTCTTAATCGCTTAAAGTCAGCAATCCGATAATAAAATCATAACTAATTACTTGTCACTTGGTGAACTTCATATCTTCCACAGTTGAGATCGAGATCGTACAAACTCCATCAGTGGCGTAATTTTTCCTTTCCCCTCCCATCCTATCATGTAATAAAACAAATCTAAAAACAAAAAGTATGAATAAGGGGATTCAAAACAAAATTTTGAATATTTCAAATTCTGCATATATAAAATTTATTTTGCATGTGTACATAATACAAATCACAAAAAAAATTAGCATATGCAGAATCTGTCTTAAATACAATATGAAAACACAGTCAGCCAGCATATTAATCAGATTTCTCGAGACACCGCCTTTATAATATCTCACCACGATCGAAAGGCTAGCCTTTAGCATCAACCGAGGAGCCGAAATATATGGCAGTTGGCTGTTTGGCACTTGGCAGAGCTCCCCTTATAACAAGTAAGCACTTTGGCAGTTTGGTTTAATCTATTCTCTGCTTGAGTCACGAATCTCTTTATTCTCCATTTACTATTAGTTTATTCCTGGCCGACGTTACTTTGTAAAAGAAACATCAGAACTTCAGAACAGCAATACGTCTGCAATGTCTGGAAACATCTATATATAAATATAAATATAAAGGTGGGAATTGGCAAGATGATGTTGCAGTCCTCTAAAGCCAATATTCTTATTTATCTTTTTTCTTGTTTTTTTGGACTTTTGTCCTAATTTTAGTACAATTTTCATTATTAAAATATTTTTCCTACATAATTATTGTTATGAGTTTAAATAACGGAAAAGGAGGAAATTTTGGAATTGAATTACATCTTTCATTATATACATTAATTATGAATATTAAATAAGGGAGAGGAAGTGATTCAATTTAATTAGACAAAATAAGCAGCTTTAATGACTTAAAGAAGAAAATGTGTAAATAAAGCTGATGAGTGAGTATTAGCATTCTAATGAGAAACCGTTTCTGCCCACTCTTTCTATTTTTCTTCACAAATCCAATGAAAGCTCTTCATTTCATTTTTCCAATCGTTATTAGAAGTAATTATACAATTATTAGTATTAAATTGTATTGAATCTGTTATCTATATTTTGATCGTTTCAATTCTCTGTTTGACCACTCAATTTCCAATCCAACTATATATTGTGGTCTCTGGTTTTATTTGAACTATATAACTGATGAGTTTTCAAGTTCTTTTTCGTTTTAACAGTATTCCGTATTACATGTTAAAATTAGAGTAAAATCAAATATTTCAGCAAATGCTTGTGCATCTACACTTATACATATCAGACAATGTTTATGTATATGGAATAAACCAAGGTCAAGATGATGACGATACTAAAAATATCTTTCTATCAAGTTCCAAGAGCTGGTGAAGAAATTTGGCAAGCGTTTATTTTAATGATACATGATTAATTTTGGCAAGCATTTCTATGAATTTTCATTACTTTTGTGGTTTGTATGCAACTTCTATTTTCAAGTCACCTTTGTTGTTTTATTTTTGAGTATGTTGTATATGGATCATGGTGTCACAATGGTAACCCCGGTGTTACAAGAATTTTTCTTATTTGTTTTTTGTTTTGTTTTGGAGAATAGAAAATATATGGTATAGAAGTTCTTATATTTTGCTGGATTTTACTAATAGATAATAGGTCATTGCGTGAAGAATACGATTTGTATCTAACTTATAGAGATATAACGTGGCATTTTTCCGAAACTAAAATGACCAATTATTTTTCATCACTTTTTTCGCATTTTTCTCTTGCCTAATTAGAAGTGTAACAATTTTAATTATTTTCGATTCTTTTATTTAAGGTTTTTTATATATAGTAACTCCCAAAAATTAAATTGGATGTGGTAAAAAAATTAAGATTTTCCCCCTTTTTAAAGGTTTTTGAATAATATATTACCAAAATATTAAATTTAATGAAGCAAATTGAAAAAGCAACTGTAGGGAAAAAAATAGAAGGAAAGAAAAGAAAAATAGTTTGTAGAGGCAGTATAAGATAGAAAAAGAGAGAAAAAGAGAAAAAAATAGTAGAGAGATTAGGGAATTGAAAAGGAAAGAAAAAGAAGATCAATACAAAAAATAGAGAGATTTTCTTTTTTATTTTTAGTTTCTTTACTTTTCACTTCATTTTTATTAAATGTTTTACTATTTAGTGAAAAGAACAAATCAAATGCATATAATACATTCATGTATTTAACATATAACTCAACTAAGAATCACATATTTATTTTATATTGTATGATATTTATTATAACTGCACGAAGCGCGAACAAGTTCTCTAGTTAAAATATAAAATAATAAAAATTATTCGTCTGGAAAACTCTAGTACATACTAGAACAATGTAGAAGGTCAAGTTTTTACTAATATAGGAGTAATTTTTTATATCCCTACTTGTTCTTCGTGCTTGTGTCCTCGATTAGTTGGTGTTTATCTATATGGTCAAAGTTGGCCTTTTTTTTATGTTATTAAATTCAATTATGCTGTTATTATATTCCAACATCGGGCGTTGCTTATTGTTCAGCTGATTAGGACAAAATATGCAAAATTTGGGGTCATATTGGGGACACAAGTGGCACTTTAATATAATTTAATCAACGCATTAGGCATTTGCGTCTAGGTGGTGTCAGAATAAAAATTCAATATTAATCCCGCTGTGAAAGTAATTGGATATTCGTACGATCATGGTCTCCAACTTTGCCATGCAGCAAACCCCGAAAACATAAAAATATAAAGAGAATCAACAAATTAATGACTTTTTAAATACAGTTGTTGTTGCCGGTTGTCAATCACTGACCTTTTGATAGTAACTTTATGCTATTTTTGAGAGTCCGGAACCAAAGTGTGATTTTTTTTTACTCAAACTATACAAACAAGTGGTAAAAAAAATGACATTTTTATATATAGCGCCATAATACTTGGTGCTATATACTAACAGTAACGAAACCGTTAAGGTATAGCGCCAGGTATTGTGGCGCTATACTGTTAAAGCTGACATAGCCAGGTATAGCGCCACAATACCTGGCGCTATATATACAGCATTAATGTATAGCGCCAGGTATAGTGGCGCTATACATAGATTTCCTGGCCCCACCAATAACGTGACTTCAATAATTCAAAAGCGTATAGTGCCAACCTTTTGGGCACTATACCTACATAAAAAAAAATCCCGGCTAGCCATTTCCTATATAAAAAGGTTAGAATTGTATAGAAATTCATTCAAAAATTTTGTTACCTCTTGTTGAAACGTTTATTGTTCTTAAATTCTCCAGCATTTTTTCATTATGTCAGAATAGCGTAAAATAAGAGTTTTATTATATTGGGGGGTGAGGTTGTGATGGAGAATAACTCTGTGGGCTACAGTTTACCTGCTCAGTGTCATGTTAAATTGTCACTTACAATAGAGTACGATAAATTGATATCGTTGTTATGCAAAAAACTGAGTGTGAGGAAACGTTCAGTGATACTTAAAGTAACCGGAAGATATTCGTATTC